TTTCTGAAGAAGGGTCTAGGCCCGAAACGTCAGCCTTCCTGCTCCTCTGATGCTGTTTGGCCTGCTGTGTTCATCCAGCTCTGCACCTTGTTTCATATCTCCTTTCATTTGGTTATGATCCCAGCTGATATTCTCACTGGACAAGTCAGAACCATAGACTGAAAGCTGGTTTGATAGATCACATTTTATTTTGTTTTGGTTTTAGCAAAGAGGTCTCTTATTGAAACATATGCATATAATTCTGCAGATTTTGCTTCAAGGACAAAGTGGAAGTTTATTAACAAAAGAAATGGACATAGAATAGAATAAAGCAAACCATCTACTGTTGTATAAATTCAGAAGATATTGAAAACCGGAAAAAAAAAACACCCCTTCTTAAATTTAAAAGAAATAAAACAGCTTTTGTATGGTACTCAAAGCACATCTCTGGTACATTACTGAAAACGTCACTTGTACAATACTCATGCCAGAGTGCCTGTACCTAACACTTCAGTAAGTTTAAATCACTTGTGACTTCAATGTTTAGACTGGAACTGCAGATAACTTCTTCCTGGAGCCATTATATACTTGAGCTTAAATGTACTGAGCTTTGAGTTACCTCTTCAGGGTTTATCACAATGCTTGTGGTCTGGGAGTAATACTAACTCTTTGCTCTAATGTAACTTCTTTCACTGTATATCCTTCCTTTCTCAGGAACACGGGTCTAATACAGCCATCCTATTCCAAGGGCTTCACAGGACTGCCCAAAACTCAAAGTAAAACAGAAACCAAAAGTTGCCCTCTCTAAACTATTTCCCTTAAGCTTAAAAAAAACTTCTAGAAGTCTGTAACAAACTTTGATGCCATATTATTTACCTTGCTGTGTCACAAAACCATCTATAAAAAACAAACTCATGGTGAACAAAAACCCATTCACTCTAAAGTCAGGCCTCAAAAACTGTTTTGAAAGAAATTACCTTGGCTGCAGAAATAACTGCAAGTAAATTATTAATTTCAGACGCACAGAAAAACCATAGGTTATAATTCAAAACCAAAGGCCCAAACTTATTATAAATTATATTAATCATACATATATAAATCACAGTTTTCATAGCAGCATGGAGTGGGAAGTGCACAGCTATTTTTGCACACCTTGTCATTCAAAGTTGCAAATTGCTGTTTATTTTAAACTTCTTCCTTTGTTTCTTTCAGTAGTTGGCTCTCTTATAGCTCTGAAAACCCACACCTTCTGCAGCTGAAATTTCTGAGACCATGTCTTAGGTGATGTGTTTTAAAGCTTGCCACAGACTGCACACAAAGGCACTTACACCATCCAGTCCATGAAGTAAATGCATTTCTCCAAATGGGGAGTTATTTTTCTTGTACATTGACTTTTTTTTTATGGCTGCCATATGCCCGTAGCTATTGTCATTAGTTTACTTTCATTATGCTGTTTCATTGCCAAGTTGAGCTTCTTATATCATTAACCACTTCTTCCACGCTTTCTTAGAATCATACAGCCATTTGGCCCGACTTACCAGTACTAGCTTTTTGAAACAACTATCCAATCAATTCAAGACTCTGCACGTTTCCCATAACTCCAAGTTTTTCAGCCTTCAATTATTTAGCCAGTTCTCTTTTGAACATTCCTATTGAAGATGTTTTCACCACCCTTTCAGGCAGTGAGTTCCAGATCATAATATCTAGCTATGTTAAAGCACTTCTCTTCATTTCCCTCTGGATTGTTTGCCAATTATGTTAAACCTAAATCCTGTAATTTTCCCTATGAGCCCTCTGAAAAAAGTAAACTGGATGGCGACTTATCCTGTTAATTCCATCCCTGATAGTAGAGGACAGCCATTGGTCTTTGTGTTGTCTTCAATTTTACTTTGGTCTGTCTTATTGATGGGTTCACCTTTTCTTCCAGTTCTGGGAAAGAGTTTTCACCTGAAACATGTCTTTTTGCTCCCTAGATGCTGTTTTATTCACTGTGTATCTGCAGTGTTTTCTATGTTTCTGTCAGATTTCCAACATGTGATTATTTTTAATCTATTCCATTTCATTTATTTACTCATTATGGATCCCAGCTCCACTTAGGTAGTTCTAAAGTTGTGAATATTGGCAGCACTGAAATCTGATAAAACGCATTGCGAATCCTTTGTCACTTAGCATTGAATCCCAGTAATTGCGGCAGTGCAGATCCTTGAAGGTGCAAATACATCTGTGCACTTTTCAAAATGTTAACGTTGCTACAAAATAATGCCATACAAAATGCTTGCTGCCTCCCTCTGCTGGATTACAGAAGCAGCGCAGTAATTGTATCATAAAAAAAGGCTCCCTGGTTTGACCCATGACAGAAAAACGGCTGAAATTTATAGTCCTGACAAAGGGTGTGATCGTAAGCAGTTAGCATGTAAAATTAGGTGCCATGCTCATCACCATCCATACCTGCCTGACCCTGTGGGTATTCTGAACTCAGCAGGGCAGTCTCAGGTGGCCTCCATACCTCTGGGCCGGTTGAGGCATTAAAGTGGCCATTCGTCCCGTCCTACCTGTGCTAGCACTTTGAAAATATGTATTTGGTTTTTCTTTTGCAAATTACTGTTGAATCTATTTCTACCACTCTTTGAAACAGTGTATTTGGATTATAACCATGCACTGCCTAAAAAAATTTTCTCCTAATTTCCTCCCTAGTTCTTTTGTATTTTGTGCATCTCCCTGAAGCAAATGTGAAACCAGCCTTTATCATAGGCAAGATATAACAACACATAGTCAGACTGTAACTGAGATGAGGGACGACTTATTATTAAGTTAATTTTTTATTATTAACTTACTAGTAAGGATATGATTTAAGCTAGAGAAGGTTCAGAAGAGATTTACCAAGTAGTTGCAGGATATGGAAGGTTTTAGTTTTGGGGAGAGGCTGGACAGGCTGGGACTTTTTTCATTGATGTGTAGGAGGTTGAGGGGTGATCTTATAGAGGTTTATAAAATCATGAAGGGTATAGATAAGGTGAATGGCAGATGTCTTTTCCCTGGGGTGGGCAATTTCAAGACTAGGTGGCATATTTTTAAGGTGAGATAAGAAAGATTTTAAAAAGACAATGAGGGGCAACTTCTTTAACACAGTGCTTCATGTGTGGGTTGAACTTCCAGAGGAAGTGGTGGATGTGGGTATAGTTACAACATTTAAAAGACATTTAGATAAGTACGTAAATAAGAAATGTTTGGAGGGATCTGAGCCAAGCACAGGCAGGTGGAGACATCAGAGCTAGGTCCACTTCTGTTCCTTCCCACACCTCCAGGAGCTGTCATTTAACACCGAGGTGTGACACGTTTTGTGGTTTTAACTTGCCTCTCACCAACCCTGTAACAGTCCCCTCCCAATCCTAATTGCCCCTGGCTGAGATTCTCTAACACAATACAGAGCAGAACTGGGAATGAGAACGTATTGCTCATTTCCACCTTGGGCTTTCAATTTCCCATCAAAGGAGCTGGTGCATTAATACTTATGGGCAGTTGGCCACTGGATGATATGAGATACAGTGAGTTCGAGAAGGAGTTGGAGATGGCAAAGACCGTCTGCCTGTGTGGTCATCCATTTCCCTTCCTCTTTGTAACAGAGAAAGAGATGGTGACGTTGGGGCAAGACATCATGACTCCGAGGCTGAGAGACACCGTCGCCGCTCAAGAAGCTATTCACCAATTAGGAAAAGGAGACGAGACTCCCCCAGTTTTATGGAACCTCGGCGAATTACAAGGTACAGCACTGGGAGCCTTCTGTTTTTGTTTTTTTTTCTATAGGATTTTCTTTTTAGGATTTTAGGCATGGAATTAAGGAACGAAGTATCAAAACAGAGGGAATATTCACTGACTCTGTATTCATTTCAGCTATTCAGATGTATACCTATTTCTTCATATCGTGAGTACAGTGATATTTCAGCACACTTATACAGAATATTATGATGGAATTCCTGCATGTTAGACCTTCAAACAGCAATTTACGTTACATTTTCCTTTATTGTTCATTTGTAATCCAGATAAGAATTTGAATTGCCTTCTGCAGTACATGTATTGAGTTGGGGGTATTAGAGGAGTATGAACTTTATAAGTTAGCTTGAGCATGTTAATATATTAGTGGTTAACGTTTCTGCTGCAGTGCTCTCCTTGACTCAGAATTGAACTTCTATTTGTTCCAGTTGGCTGTGACATTTCCAGCCTGAGAGGTCTGTACACAACATCCAGTTCAGAACAATTGAATGGTTCTCTAACCCTGATCTACTCCTAGCTGCAGTCATTTCTGGCAAGAAGCACATGATCTTGTATATGTGTGTGTGTGGTTTTTTACATCAAACTTTACTGATACAGAAAGGCCATTAGAAATTATGTTACGTCCTGTCTTCAGTGACCAGACAGGAGCCTGGTTTCTAGCAGAATGGTATCATCCTGACAGGAAGCAAAATTGTTGACCCCGTTATGCTGTTTGCCTGTTTTCTGTAATACATAGGGAGAATAATACGTCATATTGAAAGCTGTCAGTCTGCCACTCCCACATGCCAACTGGTAGCATGTGGTATTGCAATGGAATGTAAACTGGGTGCCCATTGTGTCTGCAGAGCTGTAAGGTATTCAATCTAAGTTGGGTCAGGAGAGAATGGATAGAAAGACCCACAAGTGTAAAATGGGATTAAAAATAACTTGATTATGACATTCTGCTCACTTCCTGATGCTTAACAAATTGAACAATGTTGATATAATCTGAGACAGACAGTCTGTCCTTTGGTATAATGTTGACATGACACTTCACCACTATAACAATTTTAATTAATAAACTTCCTGTTCAGTTGATGCAATTTAATTCCTCCCAATAAATCTGGAAGTCATCCAAACCTGACTGACTTATCCTAACCCTTGGACAAAAATGCCAGTTTTATGGGACTTCAGGTGGCATTTATATCCATCTGGATAAAAATGTCACCATCTCATTAGTTCCTTCTCCATGCACACTCCCTATTTGGAAGGAGATTGCAGAACAAAATCTGGTGGCGCAAACGCAGAGAAATAATGTCTTCAGTCAATACTTTTGTTTTCAATCCTAACAATTTCTCAGTAACCTTCACCCTTTCTGGTCAGCAGTGTGTTTGAATAACCTTTTGGTAATTTACAGTCTAGATTCATGTACTATAGACAAAGTACCTGACGGCAGTAGTAAGAGTGGCTCATTGCCTATCATGAATCAATGATTTTGATACCATAACAACAGCACCTTGCATTTGTATAGTGCCTTTAACATTCTAAAATGCCCCAAGATGCTTCACAGAACCTGTTATTTGGCATAAGCAACATAAAAGATGTTGAAAAGGTAAAGGTGAAAGCACAAGAGAGGTACTGAGCCAGAGAAGTTTGAGGAAGAAATTCCAGAGTGTACAGCCGAAGACATGGTTGCAAAGGATAGAAATCATGGTGGGCATGCAAGACCCCAGAACTGGAGGAGCACTAAAATCTCAGAGGATTAGGTTTGGAGGAGATTACAGAATTAAGGAAGGGTGAACATATGGAGGGAAATGAATGGCACTTGGTGCCAGTTCGTGCATGAACAGCAGAGTTTGGACTACTTCAAATTTACTGGAGGGATTTAAATTGCATCAACTGAACAGAACACTTTGTAGTTGCAATTACATTTGCAATTACAATTGGGTCACAGGCCTGGATTGTAGGTTCACTTTATTGGGGTATCATAAAGTGGTGCAAACTCAGTGTGACTGGATACAAAGACCTGCTTTGCTCCCAGTTTGCATGCAGCATTCCCTGGTGATTCCTTTTCCACTTGGGGCAAATACTGTCAACCCAGCTTCACAAGAAATGATATTTGCAACCAGAATGACAGCAGTTAAATGTGACCTTTCATTTAAAGCTCAACTGTTGCCCAATTCCTTTGTATCTGAGTAAACCTGAACATCATGAACTTGATGGATAGGCCAATTGATTCATTCCTTTATCAAACATTATCCAGTTTCCATCAGTCTGAATTCAAGAGGAATGAAAGCTTATAATCTGAGCTACAAACTGTGGTAGAACATACAGGACAACCTGGTCAATAACAGAAAAAGAAATTTGGATTAATACCAGGAATGTAACAGTCAATAAGGCAGCCCAGCATGTTGCCCAGTCCTTGATCTTATTTCAGATACTCCGGTTTCACAGCAGGTTTTGTAACCTTTTGCTGCACAGATTCAAATTTACAAGAAGTCTTTTTTCACTTGTGAATGAGTCCAAAACTAGGGGTCATAGGGTAGTCATTTTAAAAAAAAAAGCCTAAGAAAGAAGTTTAGGAGACAATAAGTGATTACAATGTGAAACCTTCTGCCCCAGAATCAATTGGCCCATCCGTCAGGTGTATAATGTTCAGGCTTACTCAGATACAAAGGAATTGGACAGTGGTTCAGCTTTAAGTGAAAGGTCACATTTAATTGCTGACGCAGAGGAGTTGAAGTGAATTAGCATAGATGCATTTAAGGGGAAAGCTGGTTAAGGAAGAAACTAAAGATATGCTGAAGGAGTCAGATGAGCAATGTGTTGCTAAAATGTCAGTGTAGAACATAGAACATAGAACAGTACAGGCCCTTCGGCCCACAATGTTGTGCCGAACTTTTACCCTAATCCTAAGGTCTATCTAACCTCCATCCCTACCTTATACTATCTGGGGTGAACTTTGACCACATGCACCCCAGCATCCACATGCGCATACACCCTGACAGACACATACACACCCCAATGTGTGCACAT